CTATAATGATCCCACCAGGTCCTGCCCTTGGAGATCTTTACTCACAACCACCAATCCTGGGTAATATGAATATACTCAGGCCTCTAAACATCCCTGCACACTTTCCCCTCTTCTCTCTCTGCACTCTTCTACAAGATCACACGCCCAACATTTGCATTGAAATTGGAAACAGAGTAAGTAATTCCTTAATTCCCTGAGTATCCACAGTCCCACATGACCCCACTCCACAGTGTCCTCCCACTCACATCTACAAGAACAGAACAATCTTTTCCTGGATACCAGTGCATGCTTGACACCTCCTCTTCCTCCCCCACATACTACGCACAAAAGGGTGTGCGTACACGTGCACACATGCACAAACATGAATAAACTGCATGAGCATCCTCATATGAACACAAAACCATGTCAGCCAGAAGAGGACATGTGAGGATTTATGTTGTCATTAGGGGGAACACAATGACTCCTGCACTGCTGTGAGCTCTTTGCTTTCTTAGTGATGAGTCTATAATGTGGTTAGCAGCAGTGATCTGAGGACACCCTTTGTCCTCTGCATCTGATCAACCAGCGAACTGATGCTGAGGAAGACACAATTAACTGACACAATATGTAGGGAGTCCCTTTCTACCATACTGACATAATTTTAAATAGATTCAATCACAGCACAAAATGGATATAGCCAGGCTACTGCTTTTGACAATCTGCTGAAACACATATATCTGTGTACCCCCTGCTTACACTCATCTTTTAGGCTTGATATCTGTTTACAGATTGTAAAGCTCTCTAAGGGTTACATAAAAAAATTATTTAGAATTATGAAACTGACCCAAACGCCCCCTGGAAGCAAAATCTTTTTTGAAAGTGTCATTTTTTAATATGGTGCACTGCAGACAGGAGATTTGAAGTGTCAGCAGTGTTGTCACCTGCGTTTCACCCCTGTGGTATGCAGGAATAAAATGTCATTCACTAGGGGTTAATCTGTCCCATATCTGGTGACTAGTTTGACGTACAGATGTGTATAATGTTAGTCAGCTAACTCATATGGAATAGATTGTTTGTGAATGTAGAACATGTTCAGCATTAACGCTGGCACCTAGGCTCTGACCTTGTTACTCCTCACAAGGGAACATCCAGCTCAGTGCACTATGGATTGGGGAGCAACGATACTAACGTCCCCCTCTAGGGGAAGGTAGACTCAGAGCGTACAGGTGCATGCTGGGGTGGCGGTGGGGCTTTTGAAACACTGTATGAGCAGCTGCAGTGGAGGCAGCGGTAGCAGCCAGTAACAGAATGGCTTTTCAAAAGCATCATGGCAGCAGGGATGCAGTAAAAGAGCACTAATGGGTACACTGCCATGACCAAAGGGTGCATTGGACATACAGGATGTAGCATTGAGAGGAGTATGGCATGTGAGTGTAGCAGCGAAAAGTTTTTTGTACATATATTTCAGCAATTGCATCCTTACTAAATTACTGGTCACACTGAAGAATTATCTCATGAAGGTCTGCTTTGCTTGTTTGTATTTTTGTAATTTCAACTGAACAAAGTCTGAGTGGATCTGTGACTGAAATGTCAGAGATCCGGAAGATATTCATGCAGGATTAATATGTATAGTTTATGGTGTTGGATAAGGCTAAGAGCAACCACGTGTCACATGACACGTGACATGATACTTTCACTGCCCACTGGGCCACCAAAAACATTTAGGGTGTTTAAAAACACGTGCATCTGCTGTCTCAGGTGAAGCGTGGCCTTAAATGTTCCACAGTGTACAAGCAGTTACATAACACAGAAATGCCAGGATGTGTCTTGCCTCCCTTCCCGCTGGTCTTTGTAAGTGCCAGCTTTGTGGCATCACAGCGAATTGTGTCATCTGTATGTGACTGGCTCCCCACCACCACCACCGCTGTCTGCCTGCCTGGCAGCTCTGACCTGCCTGCAGATCTGCTGAACAGCATGCTGGAGCATAAACACCAGGAGGCTTCATTTCTCCTCTCATTTAACTCCACGCTCACATCACATCTCATCCTCAGAATCGCTGTGATTTTTTACCACGGAAAAATATATGTGTAACTTAACAACTCAGACATATCAAAACAGAAACAAATCATTGAAGGTGTCTACAAACCCTCCCAGCCCTTTCAATCTATTTTCAGCTTTACCTGTCTGACAGAACACACAGAGAAGTCTATTTTTCAATACAAGCAGGGTGTGAAAGCCCTCTATCAACTTTAAAAAATAATACACAGCAGGCACTGGTATGGAGTTATTTTTCCTCTTAAATGGAGCTTATTCCTGGGACTGCCTCTATAAAAGATGCAGTGATGACAAATATGTACGATAATAGAGCAAACAAGCATGTCTCTTGGGGATTCACTCACTACTTCTGCACATTATTCAGTTTGATATTATGACTTTGGTCTGCTAGCTTACAGCCACGTCTTAATGTCTCCATCATCTAAATAAGGTCCCCTGACTCCCTGCTCCGCTAAATGTCATCAGCATGTGAATGCAGTAGCCACAAACCTCCCATAAGTGGCTTCTGCCTCTGAGCCTTGAAGGAAAAGGTTCCTGCCTTAATATGCTAAGTAAAGATGAGCGCCCCTGTGCTCTCCTGGCCCATATCAATAATTAATAGAACAGCTAAGAGGTCCACTCTCTGGGGTTCTGATCAATGCTGAATCGCTTAATGTAGTTTAGTGGACCTGTGTGTGTGTGAGCACATGAGCCTCTGTGTTTCTGTGTATGAGTGTGCTTGCAAATGTAAATGTCTGTTTATGTGGTTCAGATTTGTTCTTAAGTGAACTTGATACCTGGCCTGTAATTAAGAAGTTTGACATGCAAAATGAGATGTTGCATACATAATTGTAGACTGTAATTACTCTATACGCAAAGCTAACAATATACATCTTCGGAATTGAATTAAATTACACCAAAACTTGAAAAAACAAATTAAGTAAAATGTCCTTGATTGAGGCTGTCTCGGTATCAGGAGCACGCTTTAAATAAATTCCTCAATTCTCATTTTAGTTCTAGGCTCGTAATACATAATCCCAGCCAAGGAGGTTTGTAGCAAGTATATCAAAGGAGGAGTGTTGTGAGGTGCTATTTAGTTAAAAAGGGAAAAAAGACTTTCCTCAGCAATAGCTGAGATGCCAACATTAGACAACTGTTGAGAGAAAAAGCGTGGATCAGAAGAGGATAAGGATGCACTATGGTCAAAATAAATAAACCCATGGGTGTTTTTAGCTGACAAAGAGACCAGCTGCCTCTAAGACTTCTCATCGCCAAACAACCCAACTCGGGTGAAATCTGCCCATTCATTTTCTCAGCTGCTCCTGGTGCTGTTTAGAAATGTTAGCTACAGTAGCAGGTTATCACTCCCTTGGCATACATAAACAAACCAACATCACAGGCCAGGGTGATACCAGTAAGCTACATTGCTTCCAGCTCCTGAAGGTGTGCAAATGTGTGTGCGCGTTTGTATTTGCAAACTAGGTCTGTTTATACTATAAAGTGTGTGTAATGCGTATGAGTCCTACTTTCTATTTCAATCCTTTCCAATTCATATTTATTTATGTATTTATATATTTATATTTTTCAGCTTATTTCACATATTATTCTCTAGTAACAAAATACATTATTAAGGAATTGTTTGAAATGATCCATTCCTGTGTTGTAAGTGTAATATATTTATACGTTTATCTGCGTATCTTCCCTTACAGCCCCCGTAGCGCTGAGGTAAACAAGCATCAGATGAGCCACAGCTGCTTGTCTCAGATGAAGACAAGCAAACACAGAGAGATCATAGTTCTTGTACCATTATTTGATCAAATTAGTTTTTCTGTTGTTTTGTGTCTTGGTCTGTCCCAGTGCCCAGCTACAAAGAGTGTGACTGCAGTGTTTACTTTGGTTGGTAAAGCATTTGTTTACTCCAGCAGCTCCTGAGCTGAGATACTGAGATCTAAATTAACATTGTATATGTCCTTCTTCTTATAAAAACAGAAAAATCCTTGGTTTTCTTGATTTTGGCAAAACCTTTGGTTATTCATTGCTTTGATGTATTGCAGCAGCTCCCCATCCCCAACAAAACAACCACCAGTTGTACTAATGAAGTGATGGGAAATTACATAATAGTAGCAAGTAAGGCGAATTATGTAAATAATTTGCCAAATGAGACTGTTCTCTCAAAAGTAACGACAGTCAGTTGTTGCAACAAGTGCCCCAATGCAACATATGTTTAAGTTCAAGTGACAAAACCCACTAGGAGCCATATGTATTATGACTGAAAGGCAAAGTCCCCGTAAGGAAGAGGATGGACTTTAATAATTATGTTGTTTTCATTTTTAAAGCATGACCACAATCACTCCCTAACTTTAACCACATCTTTATTGTCCCCTAGTCTTCACAAATTGGTTATTTTTACCTATTTTATTATGAGGTTTCCTTGATCTGAACATACTACAATCTTTTCCTAAACCGAACTAGGTCATTTTTGAGCCTGAACCTAAGCAGACCGATGATTAAACCGATTTCTCTTGTCTCTCATTATACATAGGGGTTTATGTGTTAGTGACTGTATAATAATAATGTTGTCAGTCCAGACTGAGTCAAAAGTATGACTTGTTGATGTGTCCTCTGAGGCAGCTTCCAGTGGAAAGATGAGTATAACTTACTTTTTTATGGTGAGTTTGTCACTGTTGAAACGTGCTAGAGAGTCTAGAAAGATATATTTCAGAGGCTAATATTGATTATTTTGATCATGAATGAATGTCAACAGTGCTTTCTAAGTGTTTTGGAAGGCAACAAGAAATTATTTCGTCCTGCCGCTGTGATGTGATGTTTGGGAGGACATGGACAAGCAACGTACTTTGTTGAATTTGGAAGATTTGTAAACCCGCGTATCTTCTAAAGTAACTGTCAGTTGTCTCTCAAAAATGGCTAACAACCCATCCAAACCAAAAGCTAGAACTAGTGTTTGATGTTAGAGGGTATGGATCAATATGACCAAGTTTCAAGGTAAATCAAGGTTACTGTGGTAAAATACAATATATAGTTGTAGTATAAGTAGGATATACTATATCCTACAGGTATTGGTATCAGTTATAAACATCAGCAATTAATTCTCAATCACAGAAATGCTTCAGTATGATTGCAGAATACCACCTGTTCCATTAACCATTCATAAGTTGAAAAAAAAAAATCCTGTGAAGCAACAACAGATTGTACCCACCATACACAGAGCTGAATCTCCAAAAACAAATTCACAACCAGAGTTTTTTCAGCACCTTACGAGTGTTTTGTTGTTCAACAAAATAAGTCAAACCTCTCAAGGGCATCCTTGTTTAATGACACTCATACAAGAACTTTTCCTAAACAAAATTATTATTTCTGATCAAAGTACTGTAAGAATATGTGAAAACATTTACTGCAAACTTTCAGTACTTGACATTTTTAGCCACGCTATAGCAGCATGGAATGGCAATGTTGGCCGGGTTCACCATTTTGGTCCAGACTTAGAAATCTCATGGATTGCCATGAAAATTGCTACACACATTCGAGCACACTTCAGGACAAATTTTTATAATTTTAGTGGTCACCAGATGCTTCATGCAGCACCACCATCAGGTAAAAACTCTGATTTGTCCCAAACTTTGTTTTATGACCACATAAAATCACAATGCTGGTAGCATGGCTGTAAACTAGAGTCTTGCTCAATATACTCCATCAATATATATATACACACATATAAAATCAGTACACTGGTCACATGAATAGGGTCACTAAATCAATGTATCTTTCAAGTATTGTCTGTGTACAGTAACCACTGTTTGTGTACGTGTGTTTGCATGTGTGTCTGTGCCTGTTTTGATGTATGCGTTGTCTGTCTGTACTTCAAAGCTGAGTGTTAGAGAGAATAATAAGTCCGATGCTCTGTAGAGTGAGAGAGAGACACAGAGAAAGAGTGACAGAGAGGGAACGTGTGTGAGAGAGAGAGATGGGGGGGTTAGCTCTCACAGAATGCACAATGGAGCAAGCAATGAGACAAGAATGTCAATATACCCTGTGAGCGTTGCCTGGAATACCTAAACATGGTGCCAAGTAGAGACACAGTAGGACAGTCTCAGCCTTGAGGTGGTGTGTGTGCGAGTCTGTATTGCAGCAGTGTACCCTCTCTGTGTGTACGTCAACAGCTACCAGCACTGACAGCACTTCCCTTACACACAGACCTTCCTGAAACCTGCACACACTAGACTGTGTGACATCCAAGATACTCTCTTAGTATCTTGCAAGGTCAAGCCACAATTTCCTTGTCATCCAAAATGTAATAGAGTCAAACTGTAAGACAGCAGTAGGACAAATAACCAGAAAACACAATCACACACACGTAAACATACACCAAAACACGCATGTGCAGCTTGTGTAATGACTGAGTGAGGGAGACAGATGGTGACTCATACCCCACTTTAGATTGCCAAGCACTACATTTCCCATGAGGCCACTCGTAACGCCTGCTGTCACAGGCAATGTTCTTCCTGTTTTTCTGTGATTGGAGTGCAGCCTCATGGGAAAAGGTCAGATGTCAGAGCAAGAGAGGGTGATCAGAAGCGGTACGTCACAGAGGAAGATTACAAATAGCATCAATTAGTTATGTTCAACGGAGTCCAGAAGTGATTTTCAAATTGAAAGATCTAATTTATTCTTTTTGTCGAGCCTGTTTCATGTAGTTCTCCTGCTGTGCTTTCATTCCTTACATTTCCCAAATTGACTTTCAGTAACCTCTAAAGAGAATGGCTAAACATGTTCCACTTTTCTGTGTTTGACTCGTCTATTTTCTGTACAATAATGCATACTTAACAATGGGTTTTATTTGTTTAAAAGGTATTCATAATTAAGATTTGCCTCATTATACATAGGGGTTTATGTGTTAGTGACTGTATAATAATAATGTTGTCAGTCCAGACTGAGTCAAAAGTATGACTATGACATTCCTCTGAGCAGGCTTCCCAGTGGAAAGATGATGTATAGAACTTTTTCACTTTTTTTATGGTGGAGTTTTGTCCACTGGTTGAAATGTTTGCTAGAGACTTAGAAAGATATCTCTTATTATATATTTCAGGAGGCTAATATTTATATATTATCTTCATCATGAATTGAATCTGTTGATCATTTTTACGCAATTACCCTGATGAATTGGTAATGCAATCATTTTCTGTCCATCCCATCCAATTGATCAAACCTTTATCTAGGCCTCTTGTTCGGCTTGAGTTCCTGAGGTTTGGAAAACACTTCATTACAAAAGCCTGCTTGTTCCTCTGACTGCATACACACACCCCAAGAATCCTAAGAGGGTCATCGCAACTTGTTTCTGTCCTCACATCCAAGGTTCCCAGCTCCGCATCTCCAACCACTGGTGGCATGGTATGTGTTAACAAATATAACAGGCTAAATTCATTCAATAATTGGGTTATTTACTGTATTACGTCCACCAAAAACATAGGCTGTATTTAAGCCCATTATCTGGGCAAACCACTGGCATCATCTCCGTAGCTAAAAAAGCATTAAGCAGCCTCTACATTAAACCATGTTGCCTTTTTTTCAAGATGTGATATCCTGTATAAAACTGGGAGCCTTTAAAAGTATGCACCTATACAATGGTTTAAAATGTGGCAGCTACAGTAATTAATTTTGATCTCATATGTTAGCTGGTCGGCATGTCATCAATTGGCAATATTGGCTATGGAGGGGCATGGAAGGGCAGGCTGAAAGAGTCTTTCTAAGCCAGCTTGTAATGCCCTGAGGCCTATCACTAAGAGCGTTTTTTACATTTCCCTTGTAGGGGATTATGGTTGATGCCACCAGGAGCATGTTGGTTAGTGTGTGTGTGTGTGTGGTGTGTGAAAATTATTCTACAGGGGACAGACAGAACCTCACCTTCAGGACTAAGAGCTGACCAGCCGCTGGTCAAGATACTTGAATGCTGAAAGAATCAGTCTACCTCCATAAAGGAAAGGTGAGCCAGTTGAAGGCAAAGAAAAACAATTTCAGCTGTGATGTTGTCGGAGGCAAGGCAACACAACTACAATTCATCCAGATGTGCATGCCCCTCCACATGCAGAAGAAGAGCCATAAAAAAGGATGTCTACAAAAAAAATCTGTTGCTGTTTAAAGTTGTGGCTTGCTGCCGATCTTGTTTCATATTATACTTGGCCTGCTTTCAGGCATTAAACTGAAAAGTCCAAGGGGAGAGCAAACAGGAAGCAATGTACTTCACCCGGATGAACAGAAAAGCGGTTTTTCCATGAAAACCACAGACCTATATCTACCAACAGCACTTGTTAGGAAGTAACTCGAGTGCGCTGAACAAAAGGTTCAATTGACCCATCGCTAATTTTCCAATGGTTACACTTTTCTGAAAAACGCAAACCTTTCAAAACTAATAAATAACCTAGATGTCAAGGTGCCTAACAATGGGATATGCAACACATCTATTATCGACCTTTATAAAAACATGACAGTGCAACCCACAGTAAACCAACTAACCAACTTTAGAGCAACTTACAAAATAACAAAAATCAAAATACCAACAATTAACAAAATACAAAACCAACAAACTATTGTTAAATTATCCCCGATTAAAACCCCATAGAGTAAAATAAACCCCCCC